TAAACAGGTATACAAATTAATTGTGCCATTATAATATAGAGACAGAGAATTATTTCTAATTAATCTATTTTTAAATATGAATGCAGATGTAGTTTTCCCAGTCTTAAACTATGACCTGAACAAATTGTAAATTCCATTATTTTTGAATTTTTCTTTTAATAGGAAAGCTATTTTTTTAGACATGCTTACAAAWTTTTTTTTTWAAATTTACTATATGAATTATGAATTGATTAGTACTCGTTAGCTCATTAACACAATTCAAGATAATATGTATGTGATTGACTTTCGAGTGATTGTAAAAATTTTATCATAGAACTAACGATATGAATGCAAAGGTGACGTGATCCGATGATCATTTTAGGTTATAGAATTACCAATGGTGAAGTAAAATTAAAATGTTTGTCTATTAAGGATTATTTATTTAATTATTTACTATATAYCTTAGATCATATAATATTTGATAATGTTTGTAATCAGACTTTGTATAAGATGAATAAATGACACKTCAAAAATAAATCTGGTTAGATGACTGCTATATTATGTWGACCGCATTATCTACTTATTATAGTTCGTTGGGTAACTACTATATTAAACCGCATATTATTTACCTTGTCTTAAAACAAATCAATAAAAGTTAGTGCTTTTAAAAATATGCTTTTCTTGTGTATGAACCAAGTTCACATAGTTCAATTTATCCTACCACTCTGTATAATCCATGAACTTTAAAATTTATCAAATCGTCTGTTCATATTTATAAGAATTTTATCAATTAATATTGATATTTTGTTTTACGGTTTGTCAACTATAAGAAAGTGCAATTTATTTGTAATCTAAAATATTCTAAAATTGTAAAAATATACAAAATTAAAATGTATAGTATTATACAGATTGGTTAGGTCATGATACAGATTTTGGTGCTAATTRAAAATCCTTTTTTACATTTTTTACAAATTTTTTAGCCAGCCCCCCACTTTGTCAGATCGACTTCGAATTTTGCCAATCAATTGTAAACTAATTGCAAATAATTGCAAATTGAGTATCGCTAATTTCAAATATTTTTTTATATTTTTTACGAATTTTTCAAATTATTAGTCTCCAAAGGTCCTATGTATCCAGTAGGTAACTTTTTGTCTATTGTGAAATTTATCTATTGGTTATCTCGTATCTCGTATGATATATTTACTCATCTGGGCACATTTTATTTAAATGATATTCTTTTTCATGAATTATATTAGTTTTTTTTACTGACATTTTTCTATCAGAACACTCTCCAATTAGTACATAACATCACTACATTTATACTACATAATATTACTTACTTAAAGTTCACGTAGATAAAGAAGTATATTTGTTATTTAAATATAATACAAATTAGTTTTATCTATCTACCATATTATTATATAGATAAAAAGGTCATTTATCTGTATTTAGACAAATCTATATACAATTATTTGTATCAAATTTAGATGATATTTTGTTATCTATTCTCAACATTGTAATAACCACGCAAATGATTTTTTTTACTACGCTAATTCAATTTAATTTAACAAAAATTTGTTTTTTTCAATAGTATATAAAAAATTAGTAGTATAATTAAGTAAATTAACAAATTAAAAAAAATAATCAAGATATTGTATTTGTGTTAAAACATTTTTAGATTTATTTGTAAGTATATGATGGTGAATATGAAATATATTTATAAATTTTATATTATTATTCTTGAATAATATATATAAGTATAAGAAGGTGCGGGTTCACTTTTGTTTTATCTGCTTTGACATGTGATTTAATTTTTATTTGTAGATCGTTATGTGTTTGCCATTCACCATTGAACCTTCTTATATGGGACACATAATGGCCATATCCACAAGATCCCACACCATGAAGTATATAAGTGAAACATAAAATTATGTAGAATACCAATTATAATGGCCTAACTTATTTTATTTGGCATAAAATAGTAGGTGTTATATATTAAGTGTGTGACTTATAAAYCTTATAATTAAATTAATTAAATTGCTGTGTGTATAACATTAAATATTGTTTTATATAAGTTTTAGTAGTTATCTAATTAATAATAACTTTTTTCGGTATATTATGACTTAGTGGCCATGGCCATTTTACACCCATGTTATAATTTATAAATAAATATTATAGTCTATAATTTTTTTAACAATTTTTTAACTTACGTTTTTGAATTCACTTTTAGCTTTGTAGGAAATTCTAAAAGCTTAAATTGACTTTTATCAGCAAAAACAACTGTCTCGATGAGGATGTGTTTACACAATTCCTTTATTTATGAAGCATTTTCATCAAATTCCAAGCACACGTTTATCTTAACATTTAAATATTTCTGGACATTTATTTCTAGAGTTTAAATAACAAATATACTTCTTTATCTACGTGAACTTTAAGTAWGTAATATTAATAGCATAAATGTAGTGATGTTATGTACTAATTGGAGAGTGTTCTGATAGAACTATTTCAGTAAAAAAACTAATATAATTCATTAAAAAGAATATTATTTAAATAAAATGTGCTCAGATGAGTAAATATATCATACGAGATAACCAATAGATAAATTTCACAACAGACAAAAAGTTACCTACTGGATACATAGGACGTATTATGGAGACTAATAATTTGAAAAATTCGTAAAAAATATAAATAAGGATTTTCAATTAGTGAAACTAGATTTGAAATTATTTGCAATTAATTTACAATTAATTGGCAGTAATTTGAAGACGATTGGAGAAAGGGGGGGGGCCGCAGGAAGTTGCCTCCCTATTTTGAATTTGAGTTTACTCAAAATTAGATGATTTTCAACTAACGAAATTCAATTTGAAATTATTTGCAATTAATTTTCAATTATTTTTTGGTGTTTTGAATTTGGTGGGACAAAGTGGGSGGCCAACTTCATGCTCATATCAGAATGACGTGAAACAAATTTATATATAAAAATTAGATTTATATCTTATATACATAAAAAGAAGCATTTGCTTTAAAATCCGAGCCTTACTCACCACGATTTTTTTGACGTTGAGTTAACTATTACTCATAACTTAATAAGTGTAAATTATATACAAACCTAGAGAGCAATGCTAACCGCGTTGTACGTATATTTGTTTGAGGTATTTTAGATACTGAAAAATAAGTTTTGATTCCTAAATATTCTTCAGAAACCGGTTCTTTCAGTTTCGGTTGGTCCTAGTCTCTGACCTGCGCCTGCTAGCAACTGATAACATTTTGATTAGATTTTCTAAAATATGAATAAATGGTTTTTTATTGTTGCCCAAGTAGTGTATGACTTTTTTTACAATGGTTACACCCCAAATTACAAAAAATAATGTCTTGTTTTGTAGTAAGCTATAGCTATATGCGACGTCGTTGCCGAAAGCGGATGAAAAATATATCCAAAAGCAGGAATCTCATTTTTTTTTTTACTTTATTTCGTTCGTATTACACATGATTAATTCGGTTCGATTGTGTGTGGAAAAAAAAATTCGATGTTTCATAACGCCCGGTATTACAGTAATAACGAGTGAAATCGATTCAGCGGCCGTGGCGGTGTCGGTGGCGGTACTCGCGGCGGCGGCGCGTTTACAATATAATATAATTCCTTTTCACGTCGCCATTTTGTAGCCACTTGACATTTGCATATAGGAGAAACAAAACAACAGAAAAAAAATCAGACCCGTAACAATACTCACATTTATATAATATACATGGTCGGTAGGATGGGTTAGTGTGTGGGCGGGCGGGTGGTAGTGGGTTGTTATAAATCCTTTGCGTGACGGCCGTTTAAGCCGTTTTGTGTGTATACGCCGTCGTCGTGATGGGATTGAGCGAGACAATCGTATATATTATACAGGGCGCTCTTCACGCGAGCCAGTCGGTCATTCGATTGGTTTACCTCAGACCTACAGTAGTAAGATTAGTGGCAGCAGCGGAAGTACCTTTAACAGAATGTTTTACCGTGTGTTTTCGAGTCTACTGCTTCCCTCTATTCTTTAATTTTGGAATATTATTTTGGAAACAAATACATTTTTATGTTATACAGATCAATGCGATAAATATTATAATAATATGCTATTTTTCGTTTACCTTAACTCAGAACTAAAGTATTAATATTTATTATGCTTATCATAATTTACCATAAAGATATTCTATGGCAAACTCGTTGAGTCGATAGAGTTTAAAAAAATATTGAAAGTAAAATTATAAATTTCTATTAAGGCGTACCTATTTAAATAGTATAGATTTACGTTCGTTTTTAATATTAGGTAAGATGCACGCAGGAGTTTTGCAATCMGGAATTCGTCATTATGGCGAGCGAATATGTTGGAGARCAAATACGATGTGAGACACCCGATATATATCCATGCATATATATGCATATTATATTATGCTAGGTGGTGAGCTTGTGACGCTTGTGTGGTCGTGAGTGTACGAGTGCGTGTGCGGGACAGCCAAACGGGGGTGACGACGCTTTCGATGAAGCAAGAAAGTAAATAATAAGTACGCGATTCTAAACTTTTATAGTTACCTATTGAGTTTTTTTCGCCATTTTKATGGAACGCTATAACATCGTGAGAAAATAATTCAATAAATATTGTGAACAAGATATCGTGAATTAATCTCGTCGCCTAAACCATCGGCGTATCGGAAATATTATATTATATTAAAGGACTATCACGTAATATTCGACATCGCGGTAATATAATAATTATAACCATAATGATAATAATAGTATAATATTCGTATTATACGTGAGAAGTTTGGCCAGATGACGTCACGTCATGTACATACTAGACTGCACTGATCTGTACATAACATTCACGTAGGTACATATAATATAATAATATAATAATAATATCATAAACACCGCAGGTTCGGGGACGAAAGTCATGTAGCGCGGCGGCGCGGTGGTGGCATCGGCGGCAGCGGGGGTGCRCGCCAAGAGGTTACACTACACTACCTCAGTTTCGGTCGGCTTTGCATCGCTAACGGTCGTCGGTCGCGTGAACTTTGGCCACGAAACGCGCTCGTCAAGAGTCGTACACAATGGTATGTACTGCCGATGTAAACRTGGCGTGATACACCCGGCTGGCTTTTTTTRWATTTTTTTTGTTTGGTCGGGAGGGTTGATATTTGGAGATTAGAAACACGCAAGCTCGCGAACCTTTGCCACTGACGTCGTGCAGATCGGAACCATTCCTCGGACTGGTATAGTGGCGTCAACCTAAACGAAACGATAATAATAATAAACTCATATGAAATTACTACCACTCACGTGGTCGCCGATTTTGTAGCCGTACGATTATTTGTTGTACATGTAAGACCGGTGACGACGAAGACGACTTGCCGATCGACGAAAGGCTGCGGTTGTGTGCGTGCACGTGCGTGCAGTGCAAGCAGATCGCAATCCGCACCACAATATAACATAACCACAGATTTGAAATAATATTAATGATCATTCCGTTTTCCGACAAGCCGGCGAATCCGGAAGCTTAACGAGGCTGCAGTGGCCTGCCAATACACAGGCACGGAGACTGTGATACACGTGCGTTTCACTCTCGGCACGTGATACTATTATATATATTATTACTATCGGTAGGTAAAGTTAATAAGATCGATAAACTTAGTATCATCCACGTCTTTAATACATATTGTACTGAATATGAAAAGTTTAGATGGCTTATTAGATCGGACGGTCTTAAACGTAGTCAAATATACTATATTACATAAAATTCAGTACATAATATCATAATATTATGTAATTATTATACCCATTGCATATACATGTGCGTGTGTTACAGGTGTTCCGATGGGGTGGACGTTACAACAGCCCAGGTCCCGTCATTTGTTATTGCTATTCATAACGTTCGTGTCATGCATCACGGTCGTGTTCATCTCCAAGTCAGGTGAATAATCTTTCAATCGTAATATTTTTATATTTACCTATCTCATATGTGTTTCACCTAAAACCACGAATCGTATCGTTTAATAGTATAACATTATATTATATTCAATATTTGTTATCACTCGTAATATATATGGGGTGATTATTATATTGCAGAGTAGGTACTCACTATACCTTAATTATTAGGGCWGTGAATTTATAGGAAAGTGCATTTTTTTTTGGTGATTKTAAAACATAGCTTTGTGAGTACCTACATAATTTGAATTATGTAATAACGAATACATCTATGAAACTTTTATTTTGCATATTTTTGCATTTTTTGACGTTTTTAATTTTTTAGGTCATTTTTTTGCATTTTTAGGTCATATTTTGCTTTTTTAGTTCATTTTCTAGTATTTTTAATCAAATTCCGTCAATTGACTTGTTTGAAAACATTTTTTTTTTTTTATTTTACACGGGCTGTATATATTATGTATGTCAAATTTATATTTTATTAAATAATATTTTACACAAGTCACACGCTATATACGGGTCATAGGTAAAGATATTTATTTTTTTTTTTAAATACTTTTTAAACACTTTTTTGTACTAATGTTTAATATCTTATATCCAATATTAATATAAATATAAAAACTAAATTATAAACCATTTTTAATAAATTTTATACTATAATTTTTGACATTTTATATTCCTTTTTTAAGTGCATATTTTTGACATTTTTAATGCATTTTTTAAGGTTTTTTAGTGCATTAAATTCACAGCCCTATTAATTATACTCTTGACTGTTTAATCTCGATATTCGCCATATATGTATAAAGTGATGAACAAGAATCATCCTGTTCAATATTTCTAGATACACACTACGTGTGATGTACTGCATTATACAGTTTACAATTTTTAAAAAGTTTTAGGTACAAATTTGAAAGAAGTTGACTTTAGATATTCAAGTCGATAAATTTCATCTTTTTCACGATAGGTACGTACACGTGAAGTTGGCTCCCGACTTTGTGCAAACATTTTCAAAATTGTTGCAAACAACTGTAAATTAATTGTAAATAATTGTAAATTCAATATCCAAATTATATTGTAAAAATAAATCCACGGTCGTTGAGTCAAAAATAAGTTTCAGGGGGCTAAGTTCACGCAGTCCCTCTACTGTCCGATTGACTTTGGACAAATTGTAATCAATTGTAAATCAATTGTAAATTGAATTTGCTAATTTGCAAATCAATATAAAACTTAGAAATCAAAAAACAAAAGTAGGGACYCAAGTCTACGCAGCCCCCGAGTTTGACCGATGGAGTTTAACAATCCAACCAACTATACGATACCTAATTTTAAGTTATTAGACACTTGCCATCCCATTTTTTAGTTACCTATCAACAAACTAATTAAAATAGTTGTTGAATTTGTATGATTTGCTAATATAATTTTCAGTTAAGTTTAATATTTACCCCTCGTGTAAGTGTGTAACTCATTACAGTTAAATATTATATTATTGTCTTAAAAAAAAAACCGTTACCCTAGGTTGTTACCTAATTTATTATCACGCAAGGCTGTCCCCTCRCTCAATATCAACAAATATTGGTATTTTTGTGTTGAATTTTAAGTTCTACATTTACAGCTTTACCAACGTGTTTATATACGTTTAATTCTTGTCAATTTATCTACATGTCTTATTAAATCAATCCAATTTTTGGTTCTAAAAATGGTTAAGGCAATAATATCTGTAAACTTTGGAAGTTTCCTTTTGGCAAATAATATATATAATATATATAGTCAACGCTTATACACGCTTATTCGAGTGTTTAAAAATGAATTCGCGTTTCGGGATCCGTACCATACATAATATATATTATAATAATTGATAATACATTAATATTTAATGTTTTTAGTATAATATATATATATTATATTATAATTATTCCATTCACATACACGTTCGATCTGTTCTATATGTGACGGTTTCGTTACTAGTCTAAGGTACCGACACCTGGTTTGTACTGTAGGTGATACATACAACATACTATGATATGTATACCGTTTCACATTTTTTATATAAGTACTTATCGATGACGCACGTGCGTCTGTGAAATATTGATAAATTACATATTTGAAATACCTTAACAGAAATTTCCGTATAGTAATTTTGTGTATATTTGCAGTGCTATAATATTCTGCATTTCCGCAATTTTATATTGCAAAACAAATATCTATAATTACTAGAGAACGAACGGATATTATATGTTTTCTTTTTTTTTTCTAGCGGCTTTAATATTTTCCAACGATTTTAATCATGCGTCTGTACGAGATATTTAATCGTATTCATATACTTACACAAATACTTCCAAACAAGTTCAATTTGTTAGTATTTATTTTTAGGTATTTTATCATTAAGATCATATTATTATTAATCCTCACAAATTACCTATTTATTAATTAATTAATGTTCTTACAGATCAATTTTGTTTGAATGGCTTGAGTAAATTATATCTCATCATATTGGTTTCTTATTGTTTTTACTGTACTATATTAAGACACGGTAGTATTCACGTATAGATATATAAAAACAACAGTCACGTAAATTCGTACATAAATACAATATACACAATAAATAACTAAAAACAATCAATGCTATAAATACATTCATATTTCCAATCTGTAAAAATATATGTAATAATATAAATAAAATATAATGGTATAAAAATGTTTGATAACAAAATAAAATATGATTTGACTCCGTATTATGGCAGTATTTTTTTTTTTCGATATTCGCTCGAAATACTTTTTTTCCATACGTTTTTAGTTTTTACCATTATTTCAAATAAAATTTAAGTGTATAGAGAATGATCTATTTAATCAGCTGTACTAATTTTTTGAAAAAACGTTTCTTGATTTGAAAAAAATGACTTAGTAAAATATAATTAAAATTAGTATTTGCAATGACTTGGAGTCATATAAATCTTATTTGTTTATTTGATTGGTGGATTATGTTATTTATTAGTAGGGATGACAAGTTATAGGATTTGCATATTTTTTTCTATATCTCCTATTTATAGCTAGATGATCTAAAAATTTGTTCTGTAACCTAATGAATTGAAATTTGATATGGAAATTTTGTATATTTTTGCATATATTGGTAGTTTTCTTAAAAGTTGCATATTCATGTTTTTTTGTGCATAAAAATGCATATTTAGTAAAATTATTTATTATTTAATTGCATTTTATAAGTTTGTAGTCAATAACCAATAACATTTAATAGTTTATAAAAGTAAATTTAGGATTAGTATCATTTATTGGATAAATCACATCTATGGACGAATTGCCAGAAGACTTAACCTGAAATGACCTTATTTACTTGTTACTTCAAGTATGCCCCCATAACTTCAGTTGATGTGGAAAGAAGTTTTTCGTGATACAAAAAAT